CATCATCATCATCATCATCATCATCATCAACGCACGAATTGAGATATCAAATGGAAGTTGTAGACGTGTCGCTGTATTTACGTAAAACTTGAACATTTTCTGGATTATGTAGATCATGTTCTTTTTCAATTTTACGATCAACAACATCAGTAGAATTTAATACATAATTTTTTGATTCTATTCCAATGCGTTTCTTCTTAGATTTTTGTGAGTATTGTTCCAATTTGTTTGGCTCGACTGACGAGTAAAGAAGTTCTTGCGGATTGGTAGACGTTAAGTTTAGAAGTACCTGATCCTGCGACTGATTGCACGTCTTCTTCTGAACTCGACCTGTCGTCGTGGTGAAAATAGGTCTTGTCGTTTCTTGAATGCATCCGCAATCCAGACGGGTGATCGTCGTCATCGTGCCGCACGGTTCCAGACTCTAAAATTAAACGCGGAATTTCGAAGGGAACTCTATCGGAGGGATATATGTCTGAGCTAGGAATTGAAATTAATAAACAGTATATTCGTTTCGGATTAAGTTTTTTTTATTATTTTTTTTTTTTTTTTTTTTTTTTTTTATTTTTATTTTTATTTTTAAGATTGTATCTAAATAAACCTCCGTATCAGGAGAGATACACTTTCTAATTGATGAATCAAAAAAAAAAGAAATAAAAGAATGATTTGACGTACCTTTGTATCATTCTTTAATCGATCACCCAAATATGGCTGAAGAAAATTCGAATTTTGTATCCTATTATTATTATTATTATAATTATTAATAATATTGTTATTATTATATTTCAATGGTGACAATTCGGTCCTTGGATTTACATTAAAATAATCGCCGATTAGTTTCCTTATCTCATGAGAATAATATTTTTCAGTTAGGTCTCGTCTTCTTTGTAATTCTTTAAGTTTTTGTAACTTTTGCATAGCTAGCATCGCCTGTGAAATGTTTGGGTAATCGTAGAGGTAACGATGATTGCGACGAAGGAATGCATCGTTTTTTTGCTTGACAGATAAATTCTTTATATCTGGATTGGTCAGATAGTCATCGACCTATAATACATAAAAGTTAAATTAAATATTTCTAAGTTTTATGCGAGATTTTGTCATCCTAATTTTTTTCTTTTCTTTTCTTTTCTTTTTTTTTTTTTTTTTTTTTTTTTTTTTTTTTTTTTTTTTTTTTTTTTAAATATTATATGTAACAATCTAAGTCTGAATTTGATAAATTGATATAAATATATATATGAAGTAAGAGATTATAGTAATTAATTCGAAATTTATTCTTAGATGACGAGAAGACTGACATTTCTGTCCACTTCAATAAGAATCGTCTCTTCCGACGTTTTCTCCTCTGATCGTTTGAGATCATGTTCACTCGAGCACGTGTTAGGCTGATAAATATTCGACGCTGTAGATCTTAAAGGATGAGAGTGTAAATTTTGGCTCCAACCAGTGTCCAAGGTAGACGATGCCCTAAGCGTATTTTTTCTTGTATTCTCTCCAATTTTCGCTGACCGTCTTGAACAGAAATACGTATATACATATATGTATACATAAGTATTAAATGAATTTATTTAATAGTACATATATATATATATATATATATATATGTATATATTTTTTTTATAAATTATATATAATTAGAAAGGGGTTAGAGAAAAGATTAGAATTACTTGTTAGTCACGCTGGAACTCCTTAAGCGATTAGTACTCATTGTAATTACTATGATTTATAATTTTTATTTATACATATAGGCGTTCATTATTACAAAAAATTTTTTCTCCTTGGACTATGTATGTGTATACATCTTTATGTTTTATGCCAGAATAAAATTCGAGACGAGTAAAGGACGAACTTCAGGTTCTTTTGTATATCTTGAACGTAGTTTTATTATTTTTTTTTTTCTTTTTTCTTTTTTTTTTTTTTTTTTGTTCCTCTAGACTAAATAACAGAATCGTTTATTATAATTTTTAATAATTTTTATTGTTCATCGTTTTTATGATCATTTATAAACTGTACTAGTCGTTAGAGTAAGCTTTTCAGGTTTATGCAATTTGTATTTCATTATAGAGTGTCCCACTTTGCTGATAGTGTCCTGGTACTCTGATTTCCATGGTGGTATTCGTACTTCCGATCCTTCCACGTCATTCGATTTTTTACTTCGTTTTCGATTGCCATAGATTCCGTTCTTGCCATTTTGATCCAGAATACTTCGAAATTTTCGTAGCGGAGGTCGAACATTAGGACGGCAATCATATTTAATCTTTTCAGTAGGCTGATAAACTTGTGGATCGTCGGTTTTTACACAGCTTCCATCCAAACTTTTACCTATATCAAGAGATTGATATTGAAAAATATATTTGTGGAAAAAAAGAAATCTTTGTCATTGTTTCATTAACATTGTTGTCGTTATTGTTCTTTACCCTGGCCATAATCCATCATGTATGTAGTCATCATTCTATCCTTCTCAACTTCCATAATTGTTTCTTGAGTCGATTGATCTTGTATAACTCCATAGAGATCAGGATATTTTTCTTCTAACTAATTAAATAAAAATCTTTCATTATATATTTATATTTATATGGGTATTGATTTATGAAATATGAATAATGAACGAAGATAATAATTATCTTAGACAATTAAATCTAGATCGTTAGACCTTTTTCAAATAAACATCTGGTTGTCCAAATCGCGTCTGATCCGTTTCAGGACTAGGACCAGTTTTAGCAGGATACAGTTTGGGATCCAAAAGTGGTCCCATTGGACCGACACGACTCCAATCGTATTTCTCACCATACACTTTTGGTACCTTAAGATCTTTTGGATCGATGCCACAAGTGCAAGGACCTATAAGAAAGATATCATCTGCTAATTTAGACTTTTCTTTCATTGGATATGGCCAGGTATAATCCTTTTGATAGGTTGTTAGATAATGATCCATTTTTTTTGCCTTCTTTTTCTCTTTTTTCTCTTTTTTTTTTTTTTTATATCTTAGGAAGTTGATGAAGATTATTAAGAAGTATGGTAAAGATCGTGTCAAGACAAGTTTAGTTTTAACTCTTCCTAAACGATCTCCTTGGCAGCTTTAAGATCTCCTAACTCTTCTATCTTCGAGAGGAACTATGATGTTTAGTACATCGAGATTCGAAGACGTTAATTCCTCGTAAAGCCTCGAACTCATCTCTGTAAAGGTAACGTCGTGTTTCGAGGAAGAACCGGTCGATCGTGTTCACTAGAGAGATTATTTGGATAGCTCGGTTATACCTCTACTCTTCCACCTTCTGCTTCTCCTCTTTCTCCATCTCCATCTCCTTACTTTCCTTACTGTTCTTACGTGGAAATGTGCTGGATGAGTAACTCTCTTTTCTCATAGTCGCCATGTCATTCGATTTTCTTCGCTGAACTTTTAGAAATCTTGGTGTCTCATCTTCCGCGATAATAATAATGATTATGACGACGACGACGACGACGACGACGATGATGATGATGATGTTAATGTCTATCTTGTAAATTTCACGAGTCTAGAAAGATCACGTAAGTTTTTTTTATATATAGGATTTTCATGTTCCTAGAAAGTTGAAGACATTATGAAATTTTGTATTGGAATATGTCATAATTTTTGATATTAGACATTCAATTGTTTCAGATTAAGATCGATTAATTCAAATTATTCGTAAGAAATAATTTCAAACGTAATCAATCGTTGGATAATCTTAACAAGATATTTTTAAGTTAAATATAACACGAGGGAATATAATGTCAATTGTAACGTCGTGACAATTTTTCGATAATGTTCTTTCGATTAAATTTTAGAATTAATATTAGAACGATAAATTTAAATTAATTTTTAAAAAGAATAATATCAAACGCTATCGTCGATTTTTACCAAGATACTTTTCATAAAAACAATTTTAATTCATACATGACAATTTTCTATGCCCATAATGGATCATCAAAATTGTCTAGAATCAAATTGATAAATTAAAATTATATTATAAAAATGATTTCAAATGTCAATACGTTTTATAGTATTAATATTAACTTGCTAAATCATTTGTAAATTATAGCAATCAATGTGTTCTTCCATTTGCAATGAACGGTCATCGGTCGTAGTAAGTCAGAACGAGAGTTGAACAAATAAACTTGACGAAGTAAATATTCGTGGTAGATAGGGAATCCGTGTAATGTCTCTATGTATATTGTACATGTATATATGGTAGAGAAAATCCATGCAGATTTTCTACGTGTCTCTTGTGTGAAACTTGTACGTGCCTTCTCTTTCTTCTTCTCCTCTTTCTTCTTCTTCTTCCTCTTCTTCTTCTTGTAAGAGAACAAAGGTACGGAGTAGTAACAGGAGATGGCACAGTTAGCACAGAATTATTGCCCTTGGCATGGTGCCACCCTTAATTCTAGAAATTATTCATTTCGAGTCGTGTACTATCGTTAAATCAACTATAACAACGCGAGACAATGCGATTCACGGACAGCCGTGAAAATAATTTTTATGTGTATGCTTTCATAAATTAAATGGTTCCCCCCCCCTACCCCCCATTCTTTTTCTTTTTCTTTTTTTTTCTTCTTTCTTTCTTTCTTTCTTATTTTTTTTTTTTTTCCTTTTTCTCATTTTTCCTCTTCTCATTTCGTTCGTTTATTAAGCTACGTGTGCGTACTTTGCAATTATTAATTAAGTTGCATAATATGGCTAGACAAAAAAATAATGTTTTCCTTTGTACTTCTCTCTTTTCTTTCTTTCTTTCTTTCTTTCTTTTTTCTTTTTTCTTTTTCTTTTTTAATTCGTAATTAAACAAAATTTAACTGAGTTTAGACATTCGCTACGCTATATAATATCATACATCAATGATACAAAATCAATCGATTATTACAATCAAAGTGATTTATTTCGAATGTTGATACATTGTTTTATCGCTTAGCTGTAATTTAATTGGAATAATTAAAATTTAATTGAATTTCTCATTTTTAGATGGGAATTAAAAAATTGCTGGACATGACGATATAAATGAAAAATAATATGTAATTAAATGTTCGAACGAAGAATATTAGGCTTATGAAATCAAAGTAGGAGGAAGTGAAAGAGAGAGTGAGGGAGAGAGAGAGAGAGAGAGAGAGAGAGAGAGAGAGAAATGATCGGATCAATTTTTTTCTTCCTTCTCTCTATCTCTCTCTCTCTCTCTCTATCTCTCTATCTCTCTATCTCCGTTCGTTGGCACGACTCCGATCTTGAAGGAAGGAAAGCTCGGAAACGAAATGAAGCGATGGTTGCTCTAAAGATATCGCTGCGTCCACATCGCCAGGAATAGAACCAGTGACGTCACCGTTCGTCGTCGTCGTCGTCGTCGTCGTCGTCGTCGTCGTCGTCGTCGTCGTAGTCGTTGTTTGAACGAAGACGAAATCGGTAGCTTCGTCCAACGACCAATAAGATAGAAGCACAACGATCTTCAATCTTTTGCGAATTTTCTCGCGGGCTTTTTAAAATCTTGAAACATTGGGATGATCATCGATAATGAATCTTTCATTCGAAAAATCCCTAATTTCAAAAGATTTTCTCTTTCTTTCTTTCTTGCTTTCTTTCTTTCTCTTTAATGGTACATAGAAACAATACGCAAATGTCGTGTCAAAGATCAAAGAGTTAAAGGAAATTTACGAGGATCGACTCTTTTTTTTTTCTTTTTCTTTTTTTTTTACCTTTTTTTTCGAGATTTCTTTATCATTTTCGTATCGTGGAAAATTTTCTTTGAAGATATATACATACTGTCTCTATGTTTCTCTCTCTCTCTCTCTCTCTCTCTCTCTCTCTCTCTCTCTCTCTATCTCGTTTTCATTCGCTGGGTAAAAGCGTAGGCGGAAGAACAGCTTTAGCGAAATCGTTTCGTGGAAGTAAGATTCTGCTGTAGCAGACATCGTCGTAGACGTCGAGTTAAAGGATTCTTTTTTCTTTTTTCTTTTCTTCTCTTCTCTCTCTCTCTCTCTCTCTCTCTCTCTATCTATCTATCTATCTATCTCTCTCTCTCAATCGAGAGACACCAAGGAGGAATTTCCTTTCGGTCTTTAACTGTCTAACTCCTTCTTAAAGGAACTGTTCCTCCAGTGATTTATGTATAATGGGAGGGGTGTGTTTTTTTTTATTTTCTGCCTCGTTCTTACTCCCCATTCTCCCTATTGCCATTGAGTTTTGTTCTTTCTTTAATTTTCTAGATTCGTTAGATACAAATCTTCGTGGGATATAAAGTTCGGAATATCAACGGCGAGGGATTAACAATAAATTTCAGAAAGAATAATAAAGGATAGAAAAAAGGGGCCTGGGGGAAAGATAAAGGAGAAAGGAAGAAAAGAAAAGAAAAGACAAGACAAGAAAAGAAAAGAAAAATGAGAAAAAAAGAAAAAAAGAAAAAAAAAAAGAAGGAAAGATCACATTAAAAGTGATTTACAATTGTAAGTTCAAATTTACCATATGCATGTTTCTTTCTTTCTTTCTTTCTTTATTTCTGTATCTCTTCCTTCCTTCCTCCTTTTTGAAACTCCTTGTGGTATCATATACCATACAATCTAAGTGCTGACTCAAATCCTGCTGTAAAAAAGACAAAAAGAAGAAGAAGAAGAAGAAGAAGAAGAAGAAGAAGGGATCATGGACGGAATGTTTCATGACGACAGAAATGTCTGACAAAGGACTCATTGAGATTTGAAATTCGCTGTTAAGGAGAACTATTGTTATTGCGATACTCTAATCGTTTCGCTCAACGTCCTCACAATGCGTGCCCTCTTTTAAATCAATTGAAATACATCTTACTTGTAAATCCTTCGTTGGAAGATATTATCTTAATTCAACACACACTCTCTCTTCTCCCCCTCTCTCCCTCCCTTTCTTATTCTCTCTGAATGCGTTTAATAACTTTTCCACGTGTAAAATCTTCTCGAAAAAAATGTCGTCTTTGCAAAGTTTTGGTAATCACGTATTACTGAGTGTCCCATTAAATTTATTCAAGCATTCTCCCAATACGACGTAGCACCCAATTAAATGTTTGATACGAGGGATGACTCTCTCCCTCCCCTCTTCACCCTCCTTTTTCCCATTTTTTTTTCGTTTTTCTTTTCTTCTCTTTACTTTTGTTGTTGGTGACTTTCTCGTGGTACATGTTCACAGGAGCAAAAATAATTCTCGTTAGTAGAAAGAGAAAGACAGAAAGAGAGAGTATGAGAGAGAGAAAGAGAGAAAGAGAGAGAGAGAGAGAGAGAGAGAGTGAGTGAGTGTGAGAAAGAGAGACAGAGAGAAAGAGAAAGAGAAGAAAGTTCATACTGTCTTCGTGGAAAGAAATAACTTATATGTTCTTTCTCTTGTTTCAATTCCTTACTTATAAAAGTGTTATAATATTACTCGGTATAGTAGATTAAGTCTATTCGTTCTTTCCCGAGTCTCATCTTTTTGTTTGATCCAAAGGATCGACGATCTGATATCGTTATACCTCGGATCGATTTTTAATCGTTATATTACTATGAAATTTTAATTATATCGTGTAGGTGGTTTTTTTTTTTTTTTTTTTTTTTTTTTTTTTTTTTTTTAGGTACACAATCAAATCGAGTCTTTTTGTTGGAAAAATCATATGAAATTTCTTATGGATTTTTTGTGAATTTATTGAAGTATTTAATGAAATCCAATTTTATTGGATTTACGATGAAATTCAAAATAGCGACGCAATTCAATTTAATTAATGCCATTTGTTTCATGAATTGTATGAAATTTTTTGTTTTTTTTTTTTTTTTATGTCGGACGAAAATTTGTTTCAGCCGTTTTTTTTTAAATAGATCATTTTGTCTTCTAGGAAGAATTATAAGGAATTCATGATAAATTGTAAAATTCTATGAATTTAAAGAATGAAATTCATAGAGCGATCTCTCCTGGTATTTCATGAATTTGTCATAATTTCTATGAAATTTCTATAGAAATTTGTATTTAGAATAGAGAGAACACGATGGATTTCTTTGAATTCAAATATGGGGATTTGCTCTTGAAACTCGTGCAAAATTTGTATTTTCCTTTTGTTTTCCTCTTCATCTCCTTCTTTCTTCATCGTTGACTAGGCACTTTCTACTTGGTAGCATACTGATTTAGTCGACTTCAGTCTCTTTCGAGGAAGTTCTTTTCTGGTAGAGAATACTAGTTTTCTCTCTCTCTCTTTCTCTCTCTCAGTCTTTCTCTCTTTCTGTCTTTCTCTTAAGTTTTCCTTGTTAACTGGAATTCTCGTGAAAAAAGAAAAGTCGAGGGACATCGTTCGTCTCTCTCTCTCTCTCTCTCTCTCTCTCTCTCTCTCTCTCTCTCTCTCTCTCTCTCTCTCTCTCTCTCTCTCTGTTGGTCTGTCCTCGTCGGGAAAGACGCATTTGAATTTCGACGAAGTTCCAGAGGAGTTAATAGACCCAACACGTTTATTGGTTACCAGTGAAAACTCGTCTGACTTAGCTCCAAGTCGAAACCAAGAAGAGACCTTCGTCATTGTCTTTTTCCAAGGCATATATATATATATATATATTATATATATATATATATGTATGTATATATACATATACTTACTAAAATGCTTTGATATTTCCAATTTGTTTCACGGTTAATCCATGTAAAATTTTTACAAAGAACGTCAATGAACATTGTTGTTAAATCAAAGAAAAATTCAGTCTATAGAGTCGTAATAGTATTAGGAATAAATACAATTTTTTTTTTGGGAAAGTTTTCATTAAGATTTCTTTTAATAATTATCGATATAATTATCGGTAAAACTTTCGACGAATTAGATTTTTTTTAATCTCAAAGAAAACTCTTAGATCATTATGTAACGTTAATGAATAAACGCACATAGAAAAATAATTAAGAAATATCTATTGGCAAACTAAAAATCAATCTGAATGATGTATTTAGGTCTCTTTTAATATTAATTATAAAAAAATTCTCAGGTCATTGACATTGCGATCAAGGAACTCTCATTAATCGTTCATTTAAATTTCAAAGATCATGACTCATAATAAAAGCATATAATCATTTAGAAATTAACAAGGCGATCATTACATCAAGATACATTGATGCATTTCCTTTGCCAAATTTTAAATAATATTTTATCAGGATTAATCTTAAACGTCTTAATCTTGCAATAACAATTAATCCCGTTTCATAATATAAAATTGTAAATGATTAAATAATCTCTCTCTCTCTCTCTCTCTCTTTCTCTCCCTCTCTCTCTCTCTCTCT